CTCTGTCTCTCTCTCGCTCTCTCTCTCTCGCTCTCTCTCTCTCTCGCAATTACTTGCATGTACTTCATAGACATTCTTAATCTCTAATAACTCCATTCTGTTCTCTGTTGTTCTGTTTTCAGTGTTTCTCTATTCACACGCTGTTTGGTATCGGGGCATTTTTATGAGTACGAGTACGAGTACAGGAGCACAGTATCGGGCCCGATACCGATACCAGTATCGGTGCATCCCTAATTATACAAGTCTCACTGATCCCAAACTTTTGCACAGTAATGTATGTGTGTATATACAGTATATATATATATATATATATATATATATAGGGGTAGAGTGGGTAAAACACCCCCTACTGTTTTTCCCAAAATAACCACTAGATAAAGTCAAGATAAATGTATTTGTAACTATGGACTACATTGACAAGAGTGATGTCGAAGTATTCAACATGAACCTGAGAGAAAACAGATTTCACAGTAAGTGATCTAATTTTCAGCAGTAAGAAAAAAGTGTTTTAAAGCTTGTTGTTTTGTAGAACATCACAGTTATATATGATATGAGAATAGTAAGGCCTGTAGATAGGGAGTATGTGTTGTTTAAGAAAAATGCATTATATTTCCAGAATGACATGCACCCAGGGGGCATTAATTACTGTAGTTACTCTGTCCTGAACTTCAAATCCTTTGTTTTTCCATCAAATGTATTCTAACTAGTTAGTTGAATAAAAATATTTGGACTTTATATTTAAAAATGATCTCAAGTTAGCATCAGGTAGCTAGTTAGCTAGCCAGTTAGCATCAACTAACAATATTTTTTAAAATAGGCTATTATAATTTTGTTCATAATTCATAATTATTGATGATATTCTTTTTAATTTTAAGCTAAAACTGCCTGTACTCTGATTTTGTTGTAAATGTTTAAATCAAATTGCTTTGTCAGACTGGGGGGCATTTTACCCAAAACGCCCCCTTGGTACAAATTAAATTTTTTGTAAAAAAATCTAATAACATGAAAACTCTGGACATTTTTCGTACTTGGATTGTAACTAAAACTTGGATTGTCATTGTAACTAAAACTATGTTAACCATTCTGGACACATTTAACTTTTGTTTCACAGAAAAAAAATTACGCAGTCCTTAAAGGGGGCGTTTTCCCCCACTCTACCCTACATATATGTGTGTGTGTGTGTGTATATATAATTGTAAAATATTTAAATATCATGTAGCATTTGTTGTACTTCATGTATGTTGATTTATTTAAAATAAATTTTTTACAATCATATTGTATTACAATAATGAGAATCACCATTGAGAATAATGGCAAATAAAATAATTTACAAAGAAAATTGTCCAAATGCAGTATGGTAATGAAAATTGGGGGGAAAGTGGACAGATTTTTTTTTTTACTGTGGCCTTATTTTCATATAATAATAATAATAATAATAATAATAATTATTATTATTATTAATTCTTAATTAATTATTATTTATTAATTTGATAATAATACTAATAATAATACATTAATTATTATTATTAATTTAATAATAATAATAATAATTATTATTATTATTATTGTCATCATCCCACTGAAATGACAATTTCACCCTACATTTTATTACCAAAATGCAAACAAATCTTTCTCATTAATATTGCAACAAAATATTTATTTTAATTTATAAAGTAGTTATATATCATGTTGTTGTACTGCCTTTAAATTGTTAATTAATTCTAAATATAAATATAAATTAAATAAAATATAAGTATAATTATATATTTTAATAATAATGATAATAATAATTGTGTATATAATCATTAATTATGTTCTACAATGTAATACATTGCAAAAAATGTAGTGTAAAATATTGTTAAGATAAATTTTATTATAATAACAATTGGGGGCAGTGTGCTTAGTTGTCATGAAAATAGTGTCATGAAATAGAGAAAATTTCCTCGTTAATTTTTTTTCCACTGTGAAATGTTTTCATGAGGTCGAATAATTAAGACTGTCAGCGAGGGTTATCCATGTCATTGTGGTTTGTATTTTCAGAACCTGTTGCTGTTGAACCCGAATGAGCGCTATCTGACTGAACAGAGTCTGAACCACCACGCCTTCCAGACTCAGCGCCTGACGGAGCGACCCGGCCCGCTCACACCCACACCCGTCCGCCCCTCCAAGAGGAAACCGCTCCTGGACAACAGCGCCCCCAGCAGGTCAGGAGGAGTAATGAAATCAGACTGAGGAGAGTCATTGTTACAGTGATGGGCGGTGCTTGGAATGGAAAACTAGGGTACTTATTGTATACTGGCTAAATATGTGGTTAAGTTTCAGTTAGTATACTATATTGTGGTCATGTGATCTTACAGTTTTTCTCAATTGCTTTGGCTCAATTCTCGAATGAAACAACTAAACATTTTGACCAGTGTGGCTCACACGATGACAAAAATACTTTATATTTTGGTGGCCTTGGCCAAATTACTGACACGATAACTAGGTTTTGAAGCATGAATGAAATGTTTTGGGTGAGTAACTACATTTTGCAGACATGCGATAAAGTTCTGAAGTTCCAGCAAACAGTTGTGACATTTGCACTCACAGTTTAGAGAATGTTAAGATTGTTTCGAAAAATGTGCCAGAGCAATTGAGAAAAACTATTACATTTACATCTCGAGCATAGTTAATTTTGCATTTTTAATCCAGTTTTGTGAACTTTTTTTAGCTGTTGGCAACAAATAATGAGTCTTCATTTAGATTCATCATTCTGCAGATCAAGGTCAAGTAAAATTAAATAGAAAGTCAGTTTGAGTGCTTTGCATTATGGGATACAGAAAATTACACAATGTGCTATACTGCAAATTTTGCTAAATTTAGTAGGTTATCAAGTATTCCATACAAAAAAATACTGTGCGCCAAATGCAGTGTGATAGATAGATAGATAGATACAGAGACAGACAGACAGACAGACAGACAGACAGACAGGCAGGCGGATGGATGGATGGACGGACGGACGGACGGATAGATAGACAGGCAGGCAGGCAGACAGACAGACAGTTTGCATGCTTTAATTTTTTAATGTGTCTTTAGGGGTCATGTGGTCAAGAGTTCAAGTCACCATCGCTCAAACAGTCGCGACTGCTCCAGTCTGCCCCGTCACGGGCACGAAGACCTCCACCCGTCCAGCACCGAGGCATTCCTGAATGGATCGGTACCTTCTGCCAACAGCCTGAGCCCGGTGATGCACCCCAAATCCTTCCAGCCACTCAACCGCTCAGCATCGTGCGGTAAAGACCTGGCTAGCCTGCAGCATGCTAAAGAAGCCAAATCCAAAGTGGGCAATTTTGACTTCGGCAAACCGGCAGACGGACCGGGAGCCAAATACCTAAAATCCAATACGCCTCGCTCACAGAACCGCCATTCCTTTGTGGAGGGCAAGACCAGCGGTTACGGTGAGTCCACCGCGTCATCGTCTTCGGGTGGGAAGGGGTTGTCCTCGTATCTGAGTTTGTCCAAGAGTCACGGAGTGCTTAGCGATGCCAAATCCGTGAGCAACCTCAGCGACATGCGACTGCACCCAGATGACCCCGCCGGCTCGCCGCGCTACTTCCCCAGCAGCTGCTTGGACCTCAACATGAACCTGAACTTGCCGGCGCCAGGCAGCCCGTCCCTGCAACACGGGGAGCTTTCTGGACACAGTCCCGCAGTGGGGCGTCGCAGCAAACTGGAACGGGATGGAAGCATGGTGGAGCCGTCCACCCGCCGCTCCTCATCAAGGCAAAAGAGCCAGCAGCAGAGTGACGGAAACCCTGTCGATCCGCTCGACCCCATAGGGGGTCTGTCTCTTTCGGCGCCCCATGATTTCCCCTATGGCGTGGGCTACACCAGCCCATTTTCCTCCCAGCAGAGGCCACACAGGCACTCCATGTACGTGCGGAGGGAACGGGGGCGACCCCACGGCGAAGCGGGCGGATTGGCAGTGGGGCAAGGGATGCCCACTCGGGCCAGCAGTCTCCAGCTCCTGACCCCTCAGCTACAGCATCGGACCCTGCCAAAACACATGGGCAGCGCTGTGTCGCGGGACGCAGGATTAGACGACATCAGGGTCAGTCCAAACCTCTTTCACTTTTTTTTGTGATTTGCCAGCACAGAGCATTGCAGCATGCTTTCTGATGCCTGTGAGCGTCATCCAGGTTGCTTATCCCAGGTCTGGATGAAGTCTGGACAAAAATCTGGATGTGTGGCTTGTAAATATTACGGCTCTGTTCCAAACCTTAATAAGCTGCCCCAGTGTCAGCTGTCATTACTACACTGGCTGCTCCCTTCTAATTCAACATCTGGGCAGAGTTCAGAATTAAAGTATTGGCCCTTTCAATTCCCTTTCAATTGGTGTGAATCTATCTATCTATCTATCTATCTATCTATCTATCTATCTCTATGTATTCTTCTGTCGTTCTATCTATCTATGTGGGTAGTGTATGTACAGTATGATGTCTGTGTATGTCGTCTAGGTAGGCGGCTCACTAGGGTTCGTAACAGATGCTGTATGTGTAGGGTGTTTGTATGAATGTGTGCGGGCGCTTTGTGCTTCACCTGCTCTCATCTCTCCATAAACAGAGCGACCCCGCGGCCGCAGAGGTCAGTCACACGCGACCTTTAATCCGGGAGTCCACACGGGACAACACCGCTGCCTTTCACGCGCCACGGCAAAAAAGCGAGGTCCGCACCATCCTGCTTTCTCTCTCCTTCACGGTCTCTTTACCTCCTTCTCTTCATACTCCTCTTCCTGCTGCCCATTGTTCTGTTTGCTTTGCTCTCTCATTCAGAAGGCATTTCGGTTGTGTTTCCTTTTGTTTGGAGTTTAAACACAGGGGAAATCGTCACTATTCATGATAATTAATGTCCTCAGTGTTTCATTCAGCAATTTTTCTGCTGGAAAACATGTCTGTGACAAATGTTGATGCTGCAGGGAGGCGTTTATCACGAGCAGCTCGCAGATGACAGCGGATCAGCCAAAGAGAACCGCATGATGTACAGCGAGTCGGTGCCGCGACGGGTCGGGAGCTTCTACAGGGGTCAGTCACGTCACACTTATGCACATGATGCTTCTGATTTTAACAAATGTTATAGACAGCGTTGGAAGTGACAAGCTACAAGAAATGTGCATGTCATCTGATTGTTATTTGTAAATAAACAATAAAATAATATGTTACAATAATACCAGAATTATTTTCTTAATTTACTTTTTTCATTTATAATTTATTTTATTCGATTTTTTTTCTGTGTTGTCTAATTTATTTATTAGCAAATGCAATTGAAAAGTTCTCTGTTCTCTGTTCCCTGGTTCATGCAGTGCTTGATACAGTCTCTACACTGCAGGCGCGATGCAAATCAAATTAAATTGCTCCCATTATAATCAACAAAACTGTCAACACTGCATGCGTCGCAGTATCTACTGCGATGCAGTCATTGCATGCAAACTGTGTTGGAAGGACAATCAGAAAACAGCGAAACAAAGTCCCAAATTTCACTTTGAATAAAAAGCAACAAAGCTGTTGTTGTTCTAGAAGAGAGAGCGAGTGAGAAGTAATGCAAAAGTTACTTTATTTGTAAAGGTCACTTTTCTCGACACTGGTTGATCTCAGCGCATTGATCTCATTAATATGTTGATGTTTTTCTGTTTGGACCAGTGCCGTCTCCCAGACCCGATAACTCGTTCCACGAGAGTTCAGGAGTCACGATAGACAGCAGCCACAACATACACCAACCCACATACGACCCGTGGTGAGGATGATGCACAGACACACACTCTATTGTTGACCTACTGTAAATACTTTTATATGTGCAACTATTATTTGGCTCCACTAAAGTGTAATTTGAATCAAACCTTATTTTTTCTGTGATAACATGAAATAGAATAAACAAATCATGAATCATTTATTTTAATAGCCACGATGCCATAAAGGCTTTTTAAATTCATTTCTGACACTTGAATGCTTTGACAGTCAAGCAGGAAGTGACAAACAGGAAATGAGTCTTAATATTAAATAAAAGCGTTCAAAATGTAAATTTAAATTATTCAATGAAAATGTCATTTTCAATTAAAAAAATTGGATTCGTCATAATATGAACCCTTTAAAAATTAAAACATAAAATATTTATCATTTTTTTATAATTAATTATAAACCTTAATTAATATTAAATTGTTTTTAGAGAATTAAAATCTCTCAGGTAGGTTGACCAGTTTGCTGGGTAATTCTCGTTAATTAAAGATAAAACCATTGAAAACATGTTCCATGCTTGAAATAAAATATATGTTAATTGCAATAAAATATAAAAAAAATTTTTACAGCTAGTTACCAAGGCAACATTTCTAATTTTCATTATTTTAGCACGAAGAACTAAAATAACTAAAACTGAAATAAAAATGAATAAAAACTATATAGAAATACTTGAAAAATTTTTTTTTGAAAAAACACAACAGAATTACTAAAACTTTAACTAAAATTAAAATGAAAACAGAAAATGTAAAAAAATATATATATTAAAAATAAAACTATTAATAAAAAACTAAACTTATTAATAATATAATAGAATATGAATGATAGTAAAATAACCCTGTCAGATTGTAAGCATGAGTTTTATGAAGTGTGTCGTCTTTGATGAGGACGGGGTCTGAGGCACGGGACATGAGCCCTTCAGAGCCCACCAAAGAGAAGGAGAAACAAGGCTTCTTCAGATCCATCAAGAAGAAGAAGAAGAAGTCACAAACCGTGAGTATCTGTGTGTGTGTGTTAAGTGTTTCATGTCTCTCAGTGTAATGTGTGTGTGAGTGGCTAGTAGAGTGTAAACCCAGCCCGGAAACCAGACCCGTCACCCGACTCTACCCATACTGTCACATTTTAAATCAACACTTGACATTATGACATTATGTATTACCGTAATTTCATTACAAACACATTTGCAGTTATTTTTCTGTAAAACGCAGCAAGGAGTTAGAACAATTTTCATCACTCACTCTATTGTGACTACACCTGTCAATGTCCAGAAATCACCAAAAACAACCATAAAAGGCCTAAAGGATTCTATTCTATTCTAGTCGTCTAGTCTAGTCCAGTCTAGTCTACTCTTTTGAAGTTACATGATAGCTTTGTGTGAGAAACAGTTCAAAATGTAAGTAGTTATTCACCGAATATCACATTTAAAAAAAAAAAAAGACCAAAAAGTGAATTTAACAAAAAGTTAATAAAATGAAAACAGAAAATATAGTATGTATAATAATTTTTATCATTTTATAAGTAATTATTTAACCCATAATCGATATTAAATGGTTTTTAGAAAGTTAAAATCTCTCAGGTAGGGTAATAACCAGTTTGCAGGGTTATTATTGTTAACTAATATATATATATATATTGATAAAAAAAAAAAAATGGATTTGTCATGGTATGAACCCTTGTAAAATGAAAACAAGATATTTATAAAAATGTTTTATAATTAATTATAAACCCTACTCAGACATAAAGCCCAGGTTATTGTTGGGTCTGGAGTGGAGTCGGGTCACGGATCTGCTGTTGTTGGCCGTTGTGTCTCTGTGTGAGTTTTGTACTCTTGTATTTCAGACAGACGCTGATGAAGAGCGACTTCCAGTCACGAGGAAAACACTGTTTCCTCTCTTTCACTCTCAGAGGAGCTTCACGCGCAGCTCCTCTGAGAGAGAGTGTCCCCTAGTGGCCACACCAATGGTACACATGAGTCTCACACCTACAGTCCTATGGGGTTAGATCTCTGCCACAATTCTGCGCGCAAAAGATCATATTTTGAGCGCACAAAAGTGCATTTTGCACGCGCACGATCTGAGTTTTGTGGAGAAAATGTTCGTCTCACAAAGAAGAAAATATTTAGAGCACACTAAAATCAATTTTGCATTTAAAATAAGTTTTTGGATGTGTGCAACGTTTCACTAGCTTGCTCACCTGATGCAGTGCTCTCTAAATGCCAACGGCTTGCTTGCTCAACACAACCCAGTGTTACAATATGCCATAATTCCAGCCAATCAGAGACGAGGTTGCTAAATTCTGATTGGCTGCCTTGACAACCAATCACAACATTCCTTGCATTACTGATGACATTGGAAGAGGGAAAATACAGTGCATGCATAATTATTATGCCGGTTGATATTCTGATTATATTTGGTGAACTCCCAAAATGTACTGCCAGATTCTGAAAGATAAATTCTTCAAACAGTGGTACAAGAGGATGTGGTGCTGGTCCTTCAAGAGTCACTCACAACTTATCTGTCTATAAAGCCTATATAAAAAAAATCAGTCTTCAAGTATTTTACTACTTTTCAGTATGTGATTCTTATTAGGTAGCGGTCATTTTTTCAACTTATCTGTCTATAAAGCCTATATAAAGTAATTAAAAAGTATTTTACTACACTTCAGTATGTGGTTCTTATTAAGTAGGGGTCATTTTTTAGGATTCTATACTTAACCTAAGTCTCTGAGAACCTGACACCTTGTACTTCTGGAGACTCAGGTAGGTTGCAGTTCTGGAAAATGGTGCCGCTGGAGGCTAAATGGTTCCTGGTGATTTCACCCCTAATTCTTCACCTTAATTCCTAATTATTTTGCAGTTAACATGCTAGTTTTTAATATTTCTCATGGGCATTTAATAATTTTGACTTTCAGTCTGAGTTAAATCTCTTTTTTGGCTCATTTTATCTGTAAAAGAAAATCTGCTTAATAATTCTGCAGACCTGAATATAAGACATTGTTCACTTCCAGCATTCATGAATAATTATATATCAATTATAAATGATTAAATACAAGATTAATAGTAGTTATTAAGATTGATGTCATTTGGAATTGGTAAAATGTGCTTGGAAAAAAATATGATCAGAATATCAACTTGCATAATAATTATGCATGCACTGTATTTTCCCTCTTCCGCTGTCATCAGTAATGCAAGAAATGTAGTGATTGGTTGTCAAGGCAGCCAATCAGAATTTAGCAACCTCGTCTCTGATTGGCTGGAATTATGGCATATTGTAACGCTGGGTTGTGTTGAGCAAGCGAGCCGTTGGCATTTAGAGAGCACTGAGGGCGGGCATCAGGTGAGCAAGCTAGTGAAACATTGCACGCGCAAAAGAGAAGATCTGAACAAATATAAAAACTTATTTTAAATGCAAAATTGATTTTCGTGCGCTCTAAATACTTTCTTCTTTGCGAGACAAACATTTTCTCCACAAAACTCAGTTCGCGCGTGTGCAAAACACACTTTTGCATTTTCCCCAGAATTGTGGCAGAGATCTAATCCCATACAGTCCGCCGCTAACACACTAAACCGCTCTCGCTGCATGATTAACAACACTAATCATTTCTGTTGAGTTGGGCTGGGTACGTGTCTCCTCATTGGTCATAAGATCTGTGATGTCATCATGTCATTAGAATGACTCCACCCATATTTGCATCTTGTGGTTTGCATGTGTAGATTTGAAAGCATTTTTCCATTTTATTCACAACTAAGAGGTTTTAAAAATTTCCACAGAAACAGATTGAAGTCAATGCAAGAGTTTGAACACACGTTCATGTCATATTACAGCCCAAAATCAAAGGAAAACTGTAAATTAGATTTTGCTTACAGAAAATTAAACACATTTTCTGTAATGCAGAAAAAAAATCACATTTTCATTTCAAAACCAACACTGTATTATTGTAAATGCAGCTGTAAGTGGTACAGTAAGTTGTGTCACTGTAGTATTTGTGTACTGAATTTAATTTGTTGCTTTTTATTTACAAAAAAAAATCATGTCCAATCAAACATGATTATTTCAATTATATTACAGAAACTAGATTTTTGTTGTTGTTGTGAGATTTACCCATAAAAATATATTAATAAAAATGCTAAACTAATTTTTTCCAGAATCATCTGGAATATAAATAAATTAATAAAGTAATTTCAAAAAAATAATAATATGATGTACTGAAAAGTCATTAGTGTTTTTACAGTGTCTAATCTGGTTAGTAATTATCATCATAAAATGCAATATTAATAATAATATAAAAAGTTATATAAAGTAATAGTCATAAAAATGAATAATAATATTAATATTAATATATTCATATATAATAATATTTTTAAAAAATGATGTTGTGAAAAGACATTAGTGTTTTATTGTGTTTAATTTGGTTAATAATCATCATAATCATCACCATCATCATACAATGTAATAATAATAATATTAAAATTAATATAAATGAATCATCTTAAGTTAAATTAAGATTATTATGAAGTAATATTAAAAATAATGCTATGATGATAAAAAAAAATATCAGTGTTTTTACTTTGTCTGATCTAGTTAATAATCATCATCATAAAAAGTCATATTAATAATAATGTGAATATTAATATAAAGCAATTTTAAAAATAATAAAAATATGATGTTGTGAAAAGTCATCAGTGTTTTTACTGTGTCTAACCTGGTTAATAATAATAATAATCATCATCATAATCATAAAAGTAATGTTCATAATAAAAAATAATATAAAATCATATTAAAAGATAATATTATGATTTGAAAAGCCATTAGTATTTGTACTCACTTATCTGGTAAATAATCATCATCATCATCATCATTATCATAAAAGTAATATTAATAATAAAAATAATAATATAAAGTCATATTAAAAGATAATGTTATGTGAAGAGCCGTTAGTGTTTTTACTGTCTTTAATCTGGTTAATAATAATCATCATTATCATCATCATAAAAAATATTCATATTAATAATTATATTAAAATGTATATAAGATAATAATAATTTTAAAAAGATATAATAATAATAATATCAATTAATGTTAAAATAATAAAATAAAAATTTCCCCTGTGGGGAGAGAATCAGAATATTTATAAAATCCACTTGTGATAGAAAAACCCATATTATGCTTCTTTCCTGGGCTGTTTTTCTCTGTTGTTTGTCTGTTAGTTGTGATATTGTCATGTGGAGGTGATTGACAGCGCTGTGCCGCGTGTGATTGGTCAGGTGCCGAGTGAGGGGCCGGATCAGGCGCTGATGCAGAAATCGTCCCGCTTGTACACACACCAGGGCAGCAGACATCGCACCCGCAGCCGAGACCGAGAGCGCAGCCGCGACCGAGAGAGAGAACGAGACCAGGATCAGGAGCGAGACGTCGAGTGGCCCGCAGAGAGAGCGCCCGAAACACACTCACAGGTACATATATAAGCATTTATACGTGCGGATGATCAGCAGTGTCGTATTAGTGTCACTGAGATGTAAACAGTGTTTACAAAGTGCTTTACATACAAGAAAATACATGTTAGTTTGCATTCACAAAGTTAAAACATACATACACTAGCATTCAGAAGTTTGGGGTCGGTGAGATTTTTAATGTTTTTTAAAAAAGTCTCTTCTGCGTAAAAATACAGTAAAAATTGTGAAAAATGTGAAATATTTGTACAATCTAAACCAGTTGTTTTCTATGTGAATATCTGTTCAACTGTAATTTATGTCTGTGATGCGCAGCTGTATTTTCAGCATCATTACTCCAGTCTTCAGTGTCACATGATCTTCAGAAATCATTCTAATATGCTGATTTGCTGCTCAAGAAACATTTCTGATTATTATCAATGTTGAAAAGAGTCGTGCTGCACAATATGTTTGTGGAAACTGATGCATTTTATTTTTCAGGATTCACAGATGAACAGAAAGTTCAGAAGAACAGCATTTATTTGAAATAGAAATCTTTTGTAACATTGTAAAAGTCTTTAGTGTCACTTTTGATCAATTTAATGCGTTCTTGATTAATAAAAGTATTAATTTCTTTGAAATAAAATCTTACTGACTCCAAACGTTTAAACATTAGTGTATAAAATAATATGATAATAGAATAAAAAGAAAAATAACTTATGAACATGTCTTAATGCATAATGAGCATAATTTACATAGAAAGTAATAGTGCTTTTTATTATTACAGGAACATATTACTTATGAATAGATTTATAGACAGCGCTGTGACGCATGTGCTATACTGCTATTTCAAGAAAAAAAAAATATTATACTTCATATAATTTAATTATGTTAATTTATTATAACACATTATAATCAATATTAAAGTACATTTAAGGTTTGAAATAATGCCTGGAATTGTTAAAATCATCTCACTTGCAGGAATAAAAAACCTACACAGAAATAATGCATAACAGGGTTTATTAATAATGCATTTGTGTGGTTACAGCTCAATATGTTATATAATCAAAAGAGTCCGTTTGGGATTTTTATAAATAATGCATTAAAATGCATAGAAATAAATTATATATAAATTATAAAAAATGTAAAAAAAAATTATATATAAAAAGATTCCATTTTTATTTCTTATGAATCATGCACTTGTATAAATGATGTAAATTATATAAAAAGATTTCGTTTTTGATTTTGATAAATTCTGTATTAAATTGCATATAAATAAATTGTGTAAAATATAAAAAATATTTAAATTATATAAAAAGATTCCGTTTTTGATTTTTATAAATTATGCTTTAAATTACATATAAATAAATTGTATAAAATATTTAAATTATATAAAAAGATTCCGTTTTTGATTTTTATAAATTATGCTTTAAATTACATATAAATTGTGTAAAATATAAAAAATATTTAAATTATATAAAAAGATTCAGTTTTTGATTTTTATAAATTATGCTTTAAATTACATATAAATAAATTGTATAAAATATAAAAAAAAATTATATTATATAAAAAGATTCAGTTATTGATTTTTATAAATTTTGTTTTAAATGACATAAAAAAGTAAATTATATATAAATGATCTGAAAACAATGCAGTGAACATTTTGTGCTGTGGAAATGTCTGATATTTTGTTTTCCATCAGTAAAGTGCAGTTGTTCTCTCTGTACTCTCAGCCTCTGAAGTCTCTGCGGAAGCTTCTTCATCTCACCACCTCCTCGTCCTCGTCCTCCAACCAAACCTCGGCAGATCTCCACTACCCCCTGCCCTCCTCCAAAGGCGGCGGGAGTTTCGTGGAGCCCCGCGGCCTTGGCTCCATGCAGCCCAAGGGCCGTTCGGCTGCGTATGGGGCCCCGGGGCCCCTGGAGTCCGGCTGGCACTCCAGCGCTCTGGGCCGTCCCGAGGGAAACCCGTATCCCGACCAGCTGACCTCCAAAACGGGCCCGAACGGCTTCGCTCGCCACTTTCGTTCACGTTTGCCAAACCTGAATGACCTTAAAGAGACGGCGCTGTGAGTCGGACTCACGGCGGCCCCTGATGGGCCTTCTTTTCTTGCGTATTAAGGGTAGGCCTATATGTCTTTTCTTTTTTAGTTTTGAATATTTGATAGCACTTCTTATATTATTTATGTACTGTAATTACTGTATTTTTTGTTATCGGATAATACAGTTTAAAAGCAGATGATATAGCTCTATGTAAATGGGAATATATAAATGTATGGCTTTAGTTTCTACTCTGGTTGTAGTATATAAACATTATCTGATTCTGCATAGTTACTCTTATATCTGGCTAAAGGTTCTAATGATTCATGTATAGATGACAGTATTGACATTTATTTTATAGTAATAGAATAAGACTGTGGTATATACAGTATAGACATTACAACTTTGTCTTTGAGTATTTTCTGTTCACAATTCAGTGAATATCAGTAGATATTAAGAGTAACAGTAACATTAACAGTAAGAATGCGTGATTTTACAGTATGTGCGTGTGCTTCCCAGATAGCGCATGTATGTTGCTTTAAATGTCATATTTATGCATAAATTAATTCTTAAATGTTGTGGATGTCATTCTAACACATAACAGGGACGACAAACACTAGCAAATAATTCAGATTTTGAAAGAAGTCTCTTCTGCTCACCGAAGCTGCATTTATTTGATTAAAAATGCAGTAAAAACTGTAAAATTGTGAAATATTTTTACAATTTAAAGTAACCATTTTCTGTGTGAATATATTGTAAAATGTAATTTATTTCTGTGATCAAAGCTGTATTTTCAGCATCATTACTCCAGTCTTCAGTGTCACATGATCTTCAGAAATCATTCTAATATTTGCTGCTCAAGAAACATTTCTGATTATTATCAATGTTGAAAACAGTTGTGCTGCACAATATTTGTGTGGAAACTGTGATACAGTACCATTAAAAAGTTTGAGGTAAAAGTAAAACAAAAAAAAATATATATACTTTTATTCAGCAAGGATGCATTAAATTAATCAAAAGTGATAGCAAAAACATTTCTAATGTTACAAATGTCATCAAAGAATCCTGAAAAAAAAAGAGTACCAATAATATTTATTAATAACTGAGCAGATGATGATCTGAAGGATGAATGATTTCTGAAGATCATGTGACACTGAAGACTGGAGTAATGATGCTGAAAATACAGCTTTGATCACAGAAATAAATTACAGTTTAACAGATTTTCACACAGAAAACAGCTATTTTAAATTTTAAAAATATTTCACAATATTACTGCTTTTACGGCATTTTTAATTAAATAAATGCAGGCATGGTGAGCAGAAGAGACATTAAAATCATAGTAGTGTACATCGTAGTGTACTGCAGATGATAAAGGGTCTAAATATGACCGAAAAAAGGTCGCGACAGTATACGTGCGCTATCTGGGTTTCGTGTGGGTCTTCTGTTAGTCTTTACAAATCACAGCCAGTGTAATTTCTTAAGCCTTTTAAATGACAATTGAAGCAAAAACATCAACCAAATCTGACCAAATCATATGAAATGGTGTGGCTCCACCTGCTGGCCATTGAGATCCACTGCAAAAAAACAAAAAAAGTCAGAGTATATGATGCCTTTTTTATTTTTAAAGCAAGATTACTTTTTACTATATCTTATCAGTCTTTGATTCCCTCAGGTATAGAGCTCTTTGAATACTGCAAATACAGTTTTACATGCAATATCTGGATATCAGATGTCGAAGCTCTTTAGATCGTTTCATGTTTCTGTTTAGGGAAATAGAGCCAGTGTGTGTATACACGAGGAGGAGAAATAAGAATAATAATTTATTAATTTTATGCAATATGTAATTTCACATTCGCTAGAGAATCTTCTAAATAAAGCTCCCAGATAGCACACGTACGTCTGCAAGATATCTGTTAAAGATCGCTTCATCTGGAAAGCATCTGCTGAGTACAAACATCTTATAGAAGTCTCTCAGATGTCAGTTTTACATTCATTCTAAATCATAAACATCTTAAAGACATCTAATAGACGTCTATTTGACATCTGGTAGGAAACGTCCTATAGTCGTATTGCAGATGAGCAAACACTCTAAAAAAATACGTCTTGCAGACGTCAAATAGACATCTCCGAGATGTAGACCAAATCATATGAAATGGTGTGGCTCCACCTGCTGGCCATTGAGATCCACTGCAAAAAAACAAAAAAAGTCAGAGTATATGATGCCTTTTTTATTTTTAAAGCAAGATTACTTTTTACTATATCTTATCAGTCTTTGATTCCCTCAGGTATAGAGCTCTTTGAATACTGCAAATACAGTTTTACATGCAATATCTGGATATCAGATGTCGAAGCTCTTTAGATCGTTTCATGTTTCTGTTTAGGGAAATAGAGCCAGTGTGTGTATACACGAGGAGGAGAAATAAGAATAATAATTTATTAATTTTATGCAATATGTAATTTCACATTCGCTAGAGAATCTTCTAAATAAAGCTCCCAGATAGCACACGTACGTCTGCAAGATATCTGTTAAAGATCGCTTCATCTGGAAAGCATCTGCTGAGTACAAACATCTGATAGACGTCTCTAAGATGTCAGTTTTACATTCATTCTAAATCATAAACATCTTAAAGACATCTAATAGACGTCTGTTTGACATCTAAAAGGAAACGTCCTATAGACGTATTGCAGATGAGCAAACTCTCTAAAAAATACGTCTTGCAGATGTAAATGCAGACGTCAAATAGACATCTCCGAGATGTACGTGTGCTATCAGGGTCAAGGTACCTGGAGGCATTTTGTTTCCTCTCAGCTGGTTTTTACTCGTTTGCGCTTTAATAATTCATATGTCAGTCGGGTACACGAGATGTCAAGCGCCAGGATTTCCTGGAAAACCGAGCTCGATTACACATACAAGCGTCTCCTTTTAGTTTCAGAGATATCTAGAGAATTATCCTCAAATCATCTCGATTATCGTTCATAAACTGGTCAATTAGCCGCTAATCCATAACTGCGGTCCTTGTGTCTGAAGTTTATTCATCAGTCTCTTCAACTGCCACAAAGCCACTACAAGGCAAAGCCTGCAACCATTAGCCGAAAAAGCGTAACGGCTAAAGCTAATGCTTCCGGTTTGACAATACGTGGGAAAGGAGACCAGAGGCCGTTTTTTTTTAATGGATGTCAATGGAGGAGAGGCTTCACTACGCTGAATAAGCAGCTTTTTAGAGGAAACGACTTATAATTTAATGATTCGACAGCCTGTCGGCTAATCTTCAACATGTTTTACACTAAACAATACTTTTGGATTGAACTATTTTTAGAGTTTACCACGAAAAAAATGCCGTTTTATAAGAGAAGTCACTGATTTTTTGCGACAGGTGGGATACAGCGTACGGCACTTCCCATTCATTCCTGATATCCATAAACGGCGATTGAGTGTCGTACAACTATCATAAGTTTTAAAGGCTTTTATTGGCAAAAAATATATAATGAGTCAATATTTACAGTGTTGACCCTTGTTCTTCATAACCTCTGCAAGTGGCTCTGACATGCTGGATATTAGCTTCTGGGCCAAATCCTGACTGATGATGATCCATTCTTGCCTTCTTAGTTCTCAGAGTTGATCACAATTTGTGGGCTTCTGCTTGTCCGCTTACCGTTTGAGGACTGATGCTGCGTTCAAGTCCTCCTGGGACGTTCGTACTTACGAGTTGACAAGTCGTAATTACGACGTCAGGGGCGTTCGAGTCAGTTTAGTCGGCACAAGATGGCGGTGTACCTTCTTTTAATAAATTACAAGAAAATACAACAGGGTCTGTTAACTCTGCTTATAGAAAATGAAGAACAAAGAATTCGCATCAGGTGTGTTTTGCGTTTTTAATATTTTTTTTAGACCAGGATCCCAGTATAACTGATTTTCAGCATCAACAAACGCTAAAATACAGAGATTAAAAAAAGCTGTTAGCTAAATGCAACATGGCAAATCAAAAGATTTTTCACCTATAGGTGCAAAAATGATAGCAATTTTTACTTGAATTTCATTAACTAGCTGCGTAACAAGAACATGACCAATTTAAGTTTATAGGACAACTAAACTATCAATTTAAACAAAAATTTACCGTCAACTACAGACGTTGCATCCATCGATTCCGCCATGTTTGTCATTGACACGCCCCCAACTCGGAAACTCGGGGATTCAAGAAAATTTTGAGTTTCTCACTCGTAATAACGACTTTGTGGTGGCGTTCATGTGCGTTCAACTCGTAAATACGATCTATCCGACATGACTTGAACGCACCATCAGATTGAAATTCAATGACGTCAAGGCTGTAATGTGATTGGTTATTAAGGCTCACATGATCCAAGTTAGCCGTTACGCTTTCTCCAATAGTAAGTAATACAGACCCTCTCATCTCCCAATAGTAAGATAATCTCTGACTGCCACACGATTCATATGGCAGGAATAAGATGATGGATGGTGTTTTACTCTATAATCATGTGCTCTTCGGCTGCAGTGAGGAGTTGAGATGCTTATGAGCTCATTTAAATAACCATGAGACTGTATTTTATTTTATTTTTTAATCCATGAATAAATAAAATTCAAACCAAATGAAACGTGAACTGTCCTTTAGCGGTGCACTTGAAAATGTTTTTGAAAATGTCTTAAAAAACAATACACTATAGAGCAAATGCTAGCATTGCATAGAATCGTTTGTTTTGCTAGTAAACATCTTTATTTACCATTGAACAATTGCGAAGCTAATTTTAGCATTGCTTATCTGCTACAATCTTGATGTCTGCACATGCTAAAGCTTGTTAGCATGTCTTATTTGAAATAACTTATTTCAGTATCAATAGCAGTTAATAGGTCGGCACAACCTGTCATCCCATCAAAAACATTCCCCTAACGTTCCCATATGGTTCCCGTTTGGTTATTTATTTTGGAAGCCATATAAGAACATCCTTGTAACCGAAAATCACCTCAGGTAATTTCTCATTACCTTTTTTTTTTTTTTTTAGTTTTTTTTGATAATAATCAAAAGAGACCTTATATGAAACATGCTTTCATGCTAGCTAGTTTACAGGCTTCATCAGTGATAATGAATTTTAAATGCAGTAGCTCAACCCAGATAGCACAGGTACGTCTGCAAGATGTCTGTTAAAGATCGCTTCATCTGGAAAGCATCTGCTGTGTAAACATCTGATAGACGTCTTTAAGATGTCAGTTTTACATACACTCTAAATCATAAACATCTTAAAGACATCTTCTAAAAGTATTTTTGACATCTGGTAGGAAACGTCTTATAGACGTATTGCAGATGAGCAAACACTCTAAAAAATACAGTCTTGCAGACTTTAAATAGACATCTCTGTGATGGACGTGTGCTATCAGCGATGTAAGTATGCACCCTGCATGTTTGAAACTTCACAGAAATTATGCAATAATGTGGTAAAGTGCTGTTTTAGCACTTGATAGTACTCAGGGACTTAAAATAGGGATAGATAGATAGATAGATAGACATTTTTTTCTGTTTGTTTAACATTTAAGTGCGTTTCACACCATAAACGATCAATTTAAAAGGTTATTACTATATTAGGGTCCTCACCAACGTACGAAAGCGTTCCGTTTATTATATGTCGTCTGATGCTAGGTTCGCGCTCTTTTAAGTCAGATAGATTCTGGTTGGCTGTTGACGGTTTTATCGTTCATCAGCGGGAAAATAACTGAAAGTGATTCCAGCGATATCATTATAGTTATGCTTTGTACTTCGCTATTCTCTTAGAATCAGATTGATAATTAAAAGTTAATATTTATAGTTATTGTTATTGTCTTTGGTGTGAATGGCCATTTACGTTCTGCCTGTTCGTTAATGGAAGAACAAGTGCAGGTATTAAAACTTGAGTGTTACTGAAGGTCTTTTCACATGGTCAAATATCAGTTTTTTATGATTTTACTCGGAACACCTTTTATTTATTCAGGCTTTTACCCTATTGTTCCCAGTCTGGTCTTTGTAATAGATCCAGTTGAGGTTTTCCTGGGTCCGGTACTGCAGGCTGTATTTCGTTGTCCATTCGTCAGCATCACAGCGGCCCTGACTCAGGATACCCGAGACCACCCGCACCTCCTGGAGGTCAATCTGAAGCCACTGACTCGTGTCCTGGAGTTTGGACAGCCATGCACATCTGCGATGGAGTGAAGAGTCAGTCAGGGTCTGCTTTATTATGACCCCAATCTAGATAAATCAGGCATTGCCCTAGTCATTTTGGCAGTGAAGCCCAAGCTTTGATTTCAGGCTGATTTGGTGCTGATCATTTTAGCTAGAAGGTTTTTCTGAGACACTTACCCAAACCCCTGACTGTTCAGTCGGGCTTTATTTGGGGTCCATGAGGAAAACCAGCCCACGTACTGATCCTGGTTTGAACAGGTAAGCTGTTCCGCCATCACCGATCCGGACTCAAAACCCAGCGGTTTCTGGTAGGGACACTCTGGTTGGAAATGAGGAGCATGGAAACCATCAGGACATGCCCACCATCTCAAGAACAGCATGCTAAATGTGATTTACACAAGCAGGACCAACATCCACCAGATCCTGGAACTCAAACTGAAAAACTGTCAACAGGAAGTGAAATATCATCATGTATTGATATGGAGTTAGCATGAACCTGGATCCCTCGACAAAAACCCAGTAGGATTTTTCCATTGGCTTTAGGATTATTGCAGAAAATAAGCTCTGTGACCAATACAAGTTTATGATTCTTAAACATTTTGTCCATCATGATAATCTTCACAACTGAAGCCTAAATACAATCGCCAGATGTAAAAAGCTAAATGTAGGCTATTAACGAACTGCACCAGGGTCACATGACTTCAACATCACCACCATTAAGCTTCTGAAACTTAGACACTTGTTAGCAAACGCCTGTTTCAAGACAAATAAAAGCTTTTTAAGGGGTATTACAGATATATTTCATGTTGTAGAATAAAACGTGAAAATATCTTACGCTTATTTCAGACCTAATCGGAGGCATTTAACCAAAAATACATTCGAAAACCCAACAAAATGAACACAAATGCATGCTCTGAATGTCGTTATAGCTCTATTTTATGAGTCTTTTCCAGGTGGTCTGAAGATCAGGAGTCCCGTTGATTGGCACATGTGGATCTCCAGCGGTTTGTGATGGTGCAGGACAGACGGGCCCCATTTCAGGCCCAGTAATCTGGGCATCACAATCATTAATCATGAGATTATCAACTGGCACTCTCTACCCTCGCTCAAAGTCACTGTTTCTCACTCATTCTCATTCTGATGGTCTCTCATTGTCTCCTACAGACAGTCCTCTAGTTCTCTTATTCTGTGTCTTTTAATAATTTGATCATAATGCTGCTCTGTCAAGCTAAGGTCAGAGGGCGGTGTTTTAGCTGATGCATCATGGATGATCGTTACTCATGTAATCACTCTAAAGCCTCTTGGCTTCATGCCCTGAATCATTAAGCATGCTCTTCTGAAGGGACCGAGAGATGCTCTCGTCTCTAATCTTCCCACTGACAATTAATGCTGCCGTTCACTGCATGACCTTGCATGTTTCTGCCATTCAACACCCACACAGGCCAGACAACACTGTTTATGCATGTAAACACATACAGACAGACATGCATGTTTATCTACTGCTCTGCATGCTTATATTCTCTTATGCACCGATAATCAGCGATCCAATATGTTAAACAAATATTGGGAACAGTAAACAGTGTTTACTTCGTTCCTGAATGAATCAGTCGTTTTGAAAGAATCGATTGAATAAATTACTTAACGACTCACTTATGAAGACAGTGGTTTGTCGCCACCTACTGGTAATTTTAGTTTTATATATAAAAGTATCATTTTAATTTTTAAAATTCTATCATTTTTTTTATTTCTATATTCCAGTTTTGTATTTAAAACATTAATCTCATAACCTTATGCAATTTGTAAGTGCAGCGTAAATGCATGTACAAGTGCTAGAAATATAAAAATAAAATGTAACTAGGCCTGTACTTGGCTAAAGTGGCTAAAACCGTTTATATCAACCATTTATAAACCATATATATATACTGCTGTTCAAAAGTTTGGGATCAGTAAGATTTGTAGTGTTTTTCAAAGAAGTATCTTCTGCTCATTATGGCTGCATTTATTTGATCAGAAATACAGATATACAGAAAAAACAGCAATATTGTGAAATATTATTGCAATTTAAAATAATGGTTTTCTATTTTATTATCCTTTAAAATATAATTTATTCCTGTGATCAAAGCTGAATTTTCATCATCAATACTCCAGTCTTCAGTGTCACATGATCCTTCAGAAATCATTCTAATATGCTGATTTATTATAAGTATTGGAAACAGTTTTTCTGCTTAATATTTTTTTTTGAATCTGTGATACTTTTTTCAGGTTTTTTTGACTCGAAGATACTTTTTAAAGAAACATTACAAATCTTACTGATCCCAAACTTTTGAACAGCAGTGTATATATATATATTTATACTGTATATATAATTTTTTTTTTGTTCTGTAGACAGGCACTGACCCGGCATGCAGTCTAGATAGGGGCTGTGTGTGGATGGCGTGGTGCTGATGGAGGTCCAGGAGGCTGGAGTTCCGGTGGGTCGCGCCTCCTGACAGTCACAGCTGCAGCCCGTCGGTGTTTGATTCTCCGCCACTTCCTTCACACTCACATGGTCCTCATCTTCATAAGGCCACGGCATCTCTAACTCCTGACACACACGTGCACGTACAGTTGTCACACACACCGTCATATGTCACACACACACACACACACACACACACACACACACACATTCATACTCACCCCCTGTGTGTTTACTCCAATGAAAACTGTGACAGAGATCAGAGAGATACAGGTCATTATTAAAGATACAGTATCTATCTATCTCAGTACAATCAAAAATAAAATTTATTTGGCCAAGATATATATGCTAAATATGTGTTATAAACAGTGAAACTCAATGAAATATGCTTTTGAAATTGAAAATGTATTTAGTTTCAATGTTCATATGTATTTCAGGAGCAAGAAAATACTTTTCTAGTCTTACAGCAGCCTACATATAAGCTATATCTAAATGTAGGCAAAATAAATCTAAACTCGATTTGTAATTTAATAATGCTCAATTTTTAAATATTGCAATCTTGTATTTTTTTAATACTGTAAGTATTTTTCTCGCTGAATTTTGATACATTAAGTTCTTTAAATGTGACCTAGGAATGTATTTTCTTGGCTTGAAACAAAGATATTTTTAAATGCTTTTAAAGTATGTTTAGATTTTTTAAATATATTGGTAGAAAATATATTTACATACACACACACACACACACACACACACATATAAATAGTAGTGCTGTCAAATCGATTAATCGCGATTAATCGCATCCAGAATAAAAGTTTGTGTTTACATAAATTATTACGTATATATAAAATATACACACCTACATGTATATATTTAATAAACATATGTAATTTATATTTATATATTACATAAATCATATATAAATATGAATATAAATATGTATAAATACATGTAGATATTTCTTAAATATATACATGTATGTGTATGTATATTGTATATGTATGTATGTATATTTTATATATAAATATACACAGTATATTATGTAACACACACACACACAAACGTTTATTCTGGATGCAATTAATCGCGATTAATCGATTTGTCAGCACTACTATATATATAGGCATATTTTGAAATGCATTTAAAATCAAAGAAACATCGACAGCCAATCAGAATCCACTCAACAGCTCGAGCATTTAAAGCGGCAGAAGGCCAAACTACAGTGAGCTTAGAATAAGCAAAATCGGTTGTCGGTGTAAACGGGCCTTTAAAATGATTAAAGTAAAGCTCCTGAGTCCTGAATTTAATTTTCCATAAGTTAATCTGCACACTTTTATTTCAACCATTTATCCTTTTACTGCTAGATATAAAGAACATCTGCTAGATTCCAAATACATAACTGTCAAGTTACTGTACTGGAAACAGATGGTGTGTCCAGCTCTCATATCACACACACTTTGTACCTTGAGTCAGCAGCAGCAGAAACATGCTGAGGATCTTCGTGTCCATCTTGAAGAGCAGATCTAGTGTGTTATGAACGGCAGCGTTCAGTGTGCTCTGGATTACTGTAATCCATACATCCAATAATAGTCCTGATCTGTCTATGCCTGGCTTCTCTCTGTTCATTGCTCACTCGGAGCTCAGGAAACTTCATTGAGTTCTCGGTTGGGTTTCATTGAAGAAGCCACTTTTGTGTTTCTCTTGAAATCTACAACTGCTTAAACCGCCATATGTCATTTTTGACAATGGAAACGAGGCTGAGGGACTGAATTAGAGAGCGTTCAGTGGATTGTACTGTTGTTGAACGACACACCGATTGTTCAGCTGATGAACTTTCAGTAGACAGTTTAAAAAGTTGTGAGTTGGGGGAATTATATGATCCAGGATCTTTATACAGTGTGTGTGCCATTGTAAAGACTGTTACCATATATCTATAAATATATGTAGCCATATGTCTATAAATCCAAATATAAACTGCACAGTGGAAATTGAGTTTATCAAATGCAACTATATGAATATGTATTCATAATTGGCCTTTTATAGTTATAGCCTATATGCAATTCTCAAACCTTAACACACCCTGAGAAATGGTACCTGGAATCAAGAATCAGGGATCATTGAATCAAGTTTAATATAGTCATTCATACCAACAAAATTTATTTTAATGCATTAAATCAGTAGAAAAATAAATAAAGTAATTGCAGGATACCACTTTTTACCGTCTAGGCCAGTCCTTACAAAATAAAAGCATTGCTTTTACTAAAAAATAATAATAAAAAAAAAACACCTAGAAGGAAAGAAAAAGAACAAAGATTATTTATATATGTGTGTGTGTGTGTGTGTGTGTGCAAAACAAAAAATGCATGTGCCTAATTTGAGAACTAATTTTTTTACAAAAGAAAAACTAGTTTTTGAACTAGAACTAATTTGGTGAACAAATAAATGCAAGATTGCCCTAAAAGCTATTCGTTTATTATGAAAACTATGATTTATCATCCCAGTGTCACTGTGATTGGACCTTTGGTTTGTGTGAAGGTCTTAATTAGAGAAATAAGGTTTAATTTAAGACTGAAATGTTTCACCTGTGCTGAGATGAGCTGAGACAATAAATAGTGTTCAGACGCTCGTTTAACAGCTCTACTTCAGGCTCTGACTGCGAGGTGAACAGCAGCGATCATGAAGACTTCATCTGACAGGAGCCTGAAGTCCCTGAAGAAGTCCAGGAGCCTGAAGTCCCTGAAGAAGTCCAGGAGCCTGAAGTCCCTGAAGAAGTCCAGGAGCACAGGCTGGACACGCAAACAGAGCACCAAGGCATATTCCGCTTACATTTACAGGACTGAGAAGGTGTGTTAACGTAAAACTGGGCCTGATTTATTTATTTTCTCCTTGCTTCACGCAACAGAGAGTTGCATTTATTTGCGCGGTTTAAAATGATTTTTTGTCTTATTTAAGGAGCTGTCTGTTGTGAGTGACGCCGCCTCTTTAATGCGGCACCTGTCCGGTGCGCATGCGCAGGTGTTTTATTATATTTTAAAAACACTGTACGCCATGACATTTTGTTTGACTTATTGCGCTTTGAGGTTCGTAAATGTAGGCATATTTGTGTACGGTCTCCAAAGTTTTGGCAACGGCACCCTGTACTTAAAAGTAACAGTTTTTAAAATGTAATTCATATTCTTTGCAGTGGAACCATATCTAAAGAAAAGGTCACTGATGAATTTGTGAACATTTACCTGCTTCTCTCATGCCATAGTTTAGCTCATGAATATTAGAGTATGCTAACCTACAGTCATGGCCAAAAGTTTTGGCAGTGACTCAAATTGTGTTTTGCAAAGCTTGCTGCTTAAGCTGTTGTGGTGTTCATTCACGTTGTTTCTAGATTATTGTGTAGAGTCATCCGATGCATTTTAAATAATTGCTAAAAGCTTCATTGGCCAAAAAAATGAACTTTGCACAAACTAATTTCATTGTTTTTTGATCCCGACACAAAATGACCAGCTAACATTAATTGACTAATCATATTAGCAGCACAAGTGAAAGTGTAAATGAGTACTAGTCAGGTTAAATCACTATCATACTAATTAGATTGTAAGAGCAGACTGATTGCTATAAAAAGAGGGAAGACGCGCTTCCAATCATTGTGTTCCTCCAAAGAAACACATGCGGCCATCGTCGCTTTGCATCACAATGGCCTCACATTGCTACAAAGAATATTGCACCTGAAAGAACCATTTACCGGATCAAGAAACTCAAGGAGAGCGGTTAACTACTCCAGTAAAGTACAGATACTTGAAAAATGTACTTAAGTACAGTATTGAAGTAAAACTACTTCGTTACTGTCCACCACTCACTATCATACTAATTAGATTGTAAGAGCAGACTGATTGCTATAAAAAGAGGGAAGACGCGCTTCCAATCATTGTGTTCCTCCAAAGAAACACATGCGGCCATCGTCGCTTTGCATCACAATGGCCTCACATTGCTACAAAGAATATTGCACCTGAAAGAACCATTTACCGGATCATCAAGAACTTCAAGGAGAGAGGTTCGACTGCATTGAAGAAGTCTTCAGGACGTCCCAGAGTGTCCAGCAAGCGCCAGGACATCTCCTCCTGAGGAGTCAACTGCGGGATCGTGTCTCCAGCAGTGCAGAGCTTGCTCAGGAATGGCAGAAGGCTGGTGTGAGAGCATCTGCACGCACAGTGAGGCCAAGACTTTTGGACAACGGCCTGGTGTCAAGAAGGGCAG